AAGCCCCCAGAGAAAGGCGTCTCCTTTCTTCATGGAGGGGGAGGCAAGGTCCCCCACAGAGAAAGGAGCAGGGGTGTGTCCACGGGGCTTGAGGAGACAGGCAAAGGTTTGGAATGGGGAGGAACGGAGACCATTGGATAGAGCTGAGGGCCCAGATCTGGCCCAGTTCCAGGCTGCACACTGTGCAATCTCCTCCATCAGCTCAGGGTGTAGAAGCCTGTGCCTCCTCCTTGGTCTGGTGCTAGGCGAGTCATTCACCCCGCTGAGCTACACAGTCCTTATCTGCAAGTGGGGAGAAAAACAGCAAGTCTGGAGGGTGGTTGTGAGGATTAAATTAAACCATGCCACGAAGCACCTAGCACAGTGCCTGGCACACAGGACAGGCTCAGTCAGTACTCCTTCTCCTTCCCCTCCCCTTCGGAGCAAACCTGAGCCCGTGGACCCTGGATGGAGAAGAACATGGCTGTTGGTACCTTGTAGTGGTGGATGCTATTGGATACAAAAACAATTTTAAATACAGTCCACTTGTTACTCACAGTAGCTGTGTTCTATAAAGTTGCCACAAAGACTGAAATAGGAAATACTGAATCACTGCCCCTTGAGGAAATACAGCGTTCTTCTGGCCACACTTTCATCAACCAATCAATACATAACCTTGTTTTATGTGTGTTTCTGTTTAAAGACACCTTATCTAATATATATTGTTGATTCATTAGCATTGAGCTCACGGCCAAGAGCACCATAAGTCATTCCAGAACGAAGTTCATCTACCTCACGTGTTTTCTCCCTGAGGCTCATCCCAGGCTCCCTGCGCTTAGGAACTAGACAGCTCTTCAGTGCTACCCTTGGGGGCCCATTTAAACAGGAATAGCACCAAAAAAAAAAAAAAAGCCCCCAAGTGAGAAAAATGTGGCACTGAATAGACCATGAAAAAGACACTTGTTTACAGTATGAGGGCTGCAACAAGGCAGAGCGTCACCTCGTTGGACCTCAGCTGGGAACATGTACATCAGGCAACTCTAAACTTTCACGACTCTGTGCATGCGTGGATCCTTGCATGACTGCAGAAGTTCCTCCAGTATTGATTTGGGGTTACAAACAGATTTACAAGTAGGTGAAGGGCGCCTGGGTGGCTCAGTGGGTTAAGCATCCCACTCTTGGTTTCGGTTCAGGTCATGATCTCACGGTTGTGATTTCGAGCCCCGGGTCTGGCTCCAAGCTGGGTATGGAACTTGCTTAAGGTTCTCTCTCCCTCTCCCCCTCCCCCTGCTTTCTCTTTCTTCCCCTCTCTAAAGAGAAAAAAATTATAAGTAGGTGAATTTGCAAATACAGAATCCATGAATAATGACATTTGTGTCTCTATTTTTTCTGATTATAAAATTAAATAATAAACAGTGCTATATGCACAATGTCCCCTCCATAATCCTAGATCACAGATAAACACCGTTGGAACTGCTACTGAGTTCTGCAGATCTCTGCTAGGCAGATAGTGGCTGTGTGCCTATGTGTGACTGTGTGTCCGTGTCTGAGTATCTGTGTGTGTGTGTTTTCGCTCAACAAGATCTCTTGGATAATTTTTAAAAAGAAAAATTCCTGAAGTTATTTTTTAGAGTATGGATGGAAGCAGTCAGCATGCACTGCGGTCAGGACCACCCCGTCTCAGTTCAGACCCCTTGACCCTAACCCTAACCACATCAAGTTGGGGAAACAATGATCCAGGAAGAGCAATGACTTGCCAAACTTAACTATCACCAGCAGTCTGAGTGAGTGTATGTTCCGCATCTTAGCCAAGATGGTGTAAGGCCAGCAGAAGGACTGCTGGAAGGGTAAAAAGAAGAAAAGCAGAAAACACTGCAAAAGGTCAAGAGACTGACTTACAGCCAGAGAAAACCATATTCCATACACTTGGGAAGGGGTTGGGGCTACAGAGCAAGGGGAGCTCAGCTATTTGAAAGGATTCAGACAATAGCATCGCATAGTAACAGAGCTTCTTCTAAAAACAGCAGTGGGATGGCATGGGGTAGGCCAAGCTGCTGCAAGAAAGAGACCCAAAATACAACGGCTTACCGAAAATGGACGCTTATTTCTCTTTCTCTAGTCCACGTGGGTGGGTGATTCCACTCCATGTCGTCATTCAGAGCTCAGGTTCCTTATCTTTGCTCTGTCAGCCCCTTTGAAGCATTATTGAAGCTCGGTGCCTGGCACATCTGTGTTCCAGCTCGAAGAAAGAGGAAATGGAGCATGGCAGAGCAAAAGCCCAATGCCTTAAGGACTGTTTCTATTTACATTCTATTAGAAAGGACTTAGTCACAAAGCCGCAGTCAGCAGTAAGAGCGACTAGAAAGTGCGGTCTGTAGCAGACCAGCCATTTGGCCGGGTGCTCCATCGCCATAGAAGAGGATAGATTATATGTTGAATAAATGAAGCCTGTCCATCCATCATCAAGTCTTTTTTCATTTCTCTCCAAATGCTTCAATAATTTAGACCCTCCCCTCCTTACAAAAAAAATATATTGGGGATGCATATTGGTGTGTTATATGGGATTCTTTTGGTTGCCAACTGACAGCACAGCCCTATTCAACTTGCTTAAGCAATAAGGTGGGCCACCTCATATATCCAAAAGTCTAGGCCTGCGTCAGAGCACCAGCCCTTCTTCCCTAGGACTCTCCCAGCCTCAGTCATGTGTTGGCTGCATCCTCATACTGGGAGCAAGTTTGCTGCTGCAGCTCCAACCATCACCACCAAACACATCCACGATCAGGAAAGGGGTCAGAGTTTTTGAAAGGGAAGAGATCCTTAGCAGAAGTCACCTCCCCACCAGAAGTTGACCTGTGTCACATGTCCAAGCCCAAACTATCACTGGCAAGAAGAATGCAACCATCACAATGGACTTGAGCCAAAAGGGCACTTCCTCCTAGACTGGGCTAGGGCCAGCCTTCCCTTGGTCACCTGCGGAAGGGACTAACCTGAACAAAATCAGACTCTGACTGCAAGGAAAAGTGGAGGAATGGTTTGGCATGAGTTACCAACTCGTTTCTGGCAATGATGGTGGCAGGGGACCAGGTGAGGATGTGGAGCGTACGTAAACAGCCCAGAGGAGTAAACTTTGAACTGTTTCTTAAATTGTACCTCAGTAAAGTTTAACTCCAGTGAAGACATGTCTGGAGAAGGCAGAAACTGGGGAGCCATGTTCAATGTCTCTTTCTCTCTCACCCCCATATCCAATCCGTTACTAAATTCCATAGCATCTATGCTTTCAATACCCTAGCCGTCTCTCCTTCCCCAGTGTCTCGGCCCCAGCGCAGGTCCCCTGCAGGCACTATGACAACAGTGATCTAACTGGGGCCAGTCTTTCTTTCGCAGTCTCCATCTTTGTTGCTCTTACTCAGCTACACAGCTGTAATGAGCACCAAGCACTGCGCATATGCAGACATATCAGAAAGGATCCCTGCCTTCACCCTGCTGATGGGAAAAGAGCATCTCCCTGACTCCCTGAAACCCACACCAGACCAAGTCATTCCTCCACTTGAAAAGCCCAGTGCCTCCAGGAAATCTTTTACTGTGACCCACAACACCCTCCGCTCCTTGCCTTCCCCACCCCACCCCCAACAGTATAGAACTACTTCCACTTCCCTCCGAGGGCCCTCCCCTTTCACGCCTCTGTGCCTTTGCACCGGCTGTCCCCTCTATCTAGAAATCCCTTATCCCCTCGCCATCTGGCATACAAGATAAGGTCTCCTATTACTCTCTCCTTCTCTCCTGCTCCACTGTCCCCACCCGCCAAACACATACGCACGCGCGCGCAGACACACACACACACACACACACACGCAATATAAAAACTCCGGAAATGTTTACTGAACGGAGGCTACCTTGGGTCACACGGTAGCGGGTCTGGGCTTTCTAAACTTCTCCCCCAAGCACTCCTTAAGAAAGTGAAGAGGAAATCTTGAACTTGCCCTAAGCAAGCAGGGCATTCTCTCGAGTTTATCTTCACATTTTATGCAAAGGTTGTATTCTATACAGATTACAGGACATATCCTTGCTTGTTTTATTAAAAAATATTTTTCCTAAATCTTCAAGTCGATGATCCATAAAGATGCTCCTTGTTTACTCGTTATCCTCTTAAATTAGCTGTCCTCACCCCCGCAGGGACCCTAAGCGAGACGCGCACGTTGTTCCGTGGGCAGATCCTGAAGGAACAGCTGGATTTCGGTCGGGGGGGGAGTAGGGGAACGGTGGGGGCGGAGAGGGGGTCCGCAGGCTGGAGGCCTGGCCCCGCCTCTCCTCTCCCCCGCCCGCCGTAGGGGCGGAGTCGCCTGGGCCCGGCCCGCGGGGGCGGGGAGGGAGTCACTGCCGCCGGGAGCTCGCGCTCGGCTGGTTCCGGGTTGAGAGGCTGCGCTCGGACCTGAGCAGTGGCCGCTGAGTCGGCAGGGGTAAGGGGCCACGCCAGGTGGGGTCTTGGGGCCGGGATCGGGCAGCTGAGCTTGCTCGCACCCCTCCTCTCCTCTGCCACGCACAACCGCGGCGCCGCTTCGCCTGGCTTCCCCCTTCCCCAGAATTCCCCATCCCCTGCTTCTCCCCCTCCCCCCACTGCACCCATCCCGGGGTTTCAGCCCCCCCTAAGGCCTCCGCTCCCCTCCTGGATCCTCTTCTCCGAGCACCCATCGCTTCACACTGTCCCTTACTCTAGAACCTCCTTGCTAGGAACCTCTTCCCTCAGACACCAAGGCCCCCTCCCTCCAGCCCCCATCGCTTCGAGTCACCCACTACCTCGAGACCACCTTCCTGGACTCTCGTCCCGACTAGTCTCTACCCTGCCCCTCTTCCTCGTGTCCCCCCCTTCCCTGCCGGACAGCCCCCCTTCCTTCTGTAGCTCGTACTCGTGCCTCTCCCCGCCTGCTCCCCGCACCCATCCCTCGGTGCTGCCCCCGACAGCGCCGCGCTCGCTCAGCCGCCCCCCTGCATCTCAGGGCCCCCTCTCCGCCGCCCCCAGCGCCATGGCGTGCAGCCTCAAGGACGAGCTGCTCTGTTCCATCTGTCTGAGCATCTACCAGGACCCGGTAAGCCTGGGCTGCGAGCACTACTTCTGCCGCCGCTGCATCACTGAGCACTGGGTGAGACAGGAGGCGCAGGGCGCCCGCGACTGCCCCGAGTGCCGGCGCACGTTCGCCGAGCCCGCGCTCGCGCCCAGCCTGAAGCTAGCCAACATCGTGGAGCGCTACAGCGCCTTCCCGCTGGACGCCATCCTCAACGCGCGCCGCGCCGCGCGACCCTGCCAGGCGCACGACAAGGTCAAGCTCTTCTGCCTCACGGACCGCGCGCTGCTCTGCTTCTTCTGCGACGAGCCGGCGCTGCACGAGCAGCACCAGGTCACCGGCATCGACGATGCCTTCGAGGAGTTGCAGGTGAGCTGCCCGGCCGGCCGGGGGCGGGGCCGGGGCCGGGGGCGGGGTCAGGGCTGGACCGTGGGATGGGCCTAGGCAAAATTGTCACGGGGCGGGGCCGCCGGCAGGGTCAGGACCCTATCAGAATTAGTACGGGACGGGGACGGGGCGGGGCCGCGGAGAGAGGGCGGGGTGCTGGGGGCGGGGCCTAGGGGCGTCAGCGTCTGGCCGCGTCTGAGACAGACCCGAAGTGGGGGTGGGTCCTTGGTTGGGGCGGGGTCACCCATGGAGTGGCATGGCTGGCATCAGTGAGATCAGAGCTGGCCCAGGTACGGGCTTGGGGCAGGGTTGGGGCGGGGACGAATCAGAGCTGGAGGGCCACTGTCTGGGGTCAGGGGCCTGGACCTGAAGGCGGGGTCCACAAATGAATGGTTCAGGACAGAGTTGGGACAAAGACGCAGATGGGAATGGGAACACTATCAAGTCTAGACAGGGGGCGGGGCCGCCGTCCGGGAATGGGTCAGGACTCTTTGGGGTAGCTGAGGGGCAGGCTTGAGGCACCATGGGGCAGGTCTCAATCGGGTGTGCATCAGGACCTAGGGGGCAGTACCAGGGCTAGATTGCCCTGGGCAGGCCAGGGTGAAATCTGAGAGAGGGTCTAAGTTATGGCTATCTAAACTGCAGAAAGGGTGAGTTTGGGTGCCAAGGCCTAGGCCAAAGTGTGTGAGGGATTAAAGCTGGGATCAAGTCCAGGTACTGTAAGAAACTATTTTGGGTTTAAAGCAGAGGAGAGGCCGTGTTGACAGTGGGGACAGGACTTAAGACTCAGGATTTGGAGAATAAGGCCCTGAAGTGGGGTGATTCAAGAAAAGAGAGGGGGGTGGATCTCTGGGAGTCTCCAGAGGCTTTTGATGACTCCTTGGCTCTGTCACCCTTATCAAGATCTTTGAAGACTAAATGAAACAGTATATGCAGGGTAACCTGAGCATAGTCAGCCCAGGACTATAAATGATCTTCCTTAAACATTCCCATCTTCACTGACCAACTCCTACCCAGTTCTCAAAGCCCTGCTCAAATATCCTCTCGGTGTAAGGCTTCCCCAAGCTCCCCTGGCAAAAAAAAAAAAAAGGCATTGGAGCTGCATTTCCTCAAATATCCTCTGTTAATAAGTGTGCTGTTTTAAAAAGTAGTGTTCCAAGATCAGCTATATTGGGGAAATACAGTATATTCTCGATACCCTCTTGGAGGAATCTCCATGTACATTTTTCATATTAAAGGTTTGGAGAAATCTTGTAGCAAAGAAATCCATTTAATGTGTTTACTAGAATGGCACCCAAGCTTATTTCAGCCTGGAAGTCTAATCTTTACCTCCACCTAAACCATTTCAATCCACCAGTCCTGTATCTTTGGCTTTGGGATACAAGTCTAGCACACAGTTTCCAAAGAGCAGAGACAGTCTGTGATTCATCATACCTATGGCCCGAAAGCCTGGCACGTCCGTACTCATCAGTAAAGTTTGAATAATGAATGAGTGAATGACCAATTCTGGCCTGAGCAGTCCCAGACTGGAGCCTTTGGAAGCAGATCTTTCATTCATTTTTTTTAATATGCAGTGGGCTAACTTGGCAGGCAGTGAGCTCCCTGGCCCTTGAGATGCTTAAGCAGGAGCTAAATAACTACTTTCGCCTATGTTGTAGGAGGTGTCCTCCCCGCCCCCACCCCCCCAACCAACATGAGTCTCTGCAAGTCAGCCTGCACTTAGCAAATGTGTGAATGACCCTTGGCCCAGAAGAAATGGCCCCATGTTCACCATCTCTCCCTCCCTGCCCTTTTCATCCCGAAACCATGGCTGACTCCCTCCCAGTCTGGCTTTTTGAGGATGGAGAGCAAGAACTGGGGGCTCTGGGAGCTTGCACAGGCTGGCATCGGCCCTCCATCCCCAGAGCATTTTGTGCCGGGCCCTGGTATCCCCATCTTTCCATCTGTGAAATCACATAAACAGGGAGGGGAGAACCTTTGACATGGCTGGGTGTAGGTGGTGAGGGTTTGAAGGGACTCTGTCTGAAACCATCTGTCCAACCTCTTCCTCATATAGATGTGGAGACTGAGGTCCAGAAAGGTGATGGGACTTGCCCAAAGCCACACTACCAGACAATGAGAGAGCCAGGCTAGAAAGCTCCGCCTGCCCCAGGCCAGATCCCTCCTCTGCCGCTTAGCCCCTCCTCTCCCTGTCTACTTTCTAGCTAGAGAGGCCTCTGCCTTCTGAGCCTGGGTTCCCCTGAATGCGAACCAGGAAATCAGAACAATTGTGTTTTGGTTTTTTGCAGTCCATTCCATGTCCTGGGGAATGCAGGAGAAATTAAATGTGTATTTTCTCTAAATGTTATTGAAACACTTTTACTCTTCGGTGAAAAGAACAAGACGGCCACTCACCTACCTTCTAGTGCACTATCCTGTGGGCAGATAGACTTGGGCTCCAAACCTTCCTTCAGCCCTGTCTGTGTGACTCGGCAAGTCCCTTCATGTAAGCCTTGATGCTCTGGTGGGTAGACTGGGGTCACAATGGTTCTTTCCTACCAGGATTTCAGGAGGCTGACCTGAGGTGAACTGCTGTTTGAGATGCTTGGCACAGGGGAGGGGCTGAGTCAGCATGCCCCCTCCCACCCTTTCTCCTTCTACCTGTGAGACCTCACATGCCCAGCTGGGCAAGTGCCCAGCCCGGCCTCTCTCGCCTGAGAGGAGACCTTGCTTTGGCTCCTCCTTTGGGCTTGACAAGAAGGTGGCAGAGAAACATGCCTTCCGCCTTGGAGTGGGGAGCTCCTGGGTGAGGTTCAAGCCACTCCCCAACCCACCTGCCTCTCTCACCTTGTGGGGTAACATAATCAACAGAGCAGAGCTCATTCGCTATGTGTGCACTGGGAATGAGGCTGAGCCTGCCCAGCACACCCCCTCCTCTCCCGGCTGCTGGTGGTTCCATCCCCAGGGCTCCTAGAGCCTGGGCTTGGGCCCCTCTCCTGGAGAATAACAGACTCAGAGCTGCAGAGCCTTGGAGATCTTTTGGTGCAACCCTCACTTGACAGATGGGTAAGTGGCAGAGGAGGAGGGAACGGACCTTTCCCCAGGCCCGAGGCCAGAAGAGGCTGTGCCTGGGCTCAGCTGGAGTCTCCTCACATCCCACCTAGCGGTTGGCCTGCAGCTTTTACATTTATTATAAATCCTGGAGGCAGCAGAGCAGAAAGGTGAAGAACTCTGGCTTTGTACTGGGCAGCTTCAATCCTGGTGCCACCACTTTCTGGCAGTGTGGCCTTAGAAGAGTTACTTCCACCTCTGAGCTTCGAGTCCCTCATTGACGGTGATGGGGGCGGATGAAATGAGATGGCATTTGCAAGAACTTAGTACTGCACTCGGCACATAGTGAGCACTCAGTAAATGACAGCTGTAGTATGTTATCATACTGAGCACTATTGACACTTGGGGCCAGGTGAGTCTTTGTGTGCAAGGCAATCTTGTGCACTGTAGAATGTTTAGGAGTATCCCTGGCCTCGGACTAGCGCTAGCCAGCAGCGCTTCCCACTCCCCTCACCCCCTCCACCCTCCCAACCCTCCCATCCCACCAAGCTGTGACAACCAAAAACATCTCCAGACTTCATCAAATGTCCCCTGGGGTCAGAGTCACCCCTGGTTGAGAACCTTGGCCTAGAGAAGCTCTAATCAGCTTTCCAGGCTCAGCTCAAATGTCACCTCCTCCATGAAGCTTTCCCTGACCTGCCAAGCAGAATTGCTTTGAACTTGATTCCAATACTGGGGTCAGATCCTGGCATCATCATTGATGAGCTGTGTGTCCTTGGTCAGATCACTTCACTTCTCTAAGCCTCCCCCTGCTCATCTGTAACATGGGGTTAAGATGACCTCCCTGGGAAGGATGTTCTGAGGGTTAGGGATGCTGGATCAAAAGTGCCTGATGCTGTGCCTGCCACTGAGTAGCACACAACAATTTTTAAGGGATTGTTTTCTGATTATAAAATTAACATAATCAACAGAGCTATGTAAAGTTAAAGTCCCCCCCCCATAATCTCACCCCATAGAAAAACATGGTTAGAATTGCTTTGTGATTATTCAGAATTTTTATGGTATAAAAGCATGTGAGCGTGTGTATGCGTGTGTGGGCCTCCCCGCCTCACCTTTTTTTTTCACTGCTGAGCATTGGACCGTAGAGCCAAAGGGAGGGAAGGAGCCCCATCTCAGAAGGGTTTGGAGCTTCTCAGCCAATACCTACTGGGCCTTGGTGCATTGCCTGAGACTAGACTAAGCGCTTTTCTTGTATTACCTCATTTAATCTTCATAAAACCCTGTTGAGTGGGTCCTGTCATTTACTCCTTTTCCAGATAAAGAAACAGGCTCAGAGGAATTGAGTGCCTTGTTCAGTCACCCAGCTGGGAGGCGGCAGGGGCAGGATTAGAAGCCAGTCTGACTGGGCCACTCACAGCCTCCCAGCTACCTCTGAGGGCCAGGTAGTCCCCCCCTCCCTTTCCCCACCTCCCCCACGCTGCCTGTCTTTGTGTTTCAAGTACTCAACACAGGGTCAGGCTAAGGACACAGTCTGTGCTAGCTGATGCCCTGAGGGCAGGTGGCTGGATGTCATCTTGGTCAGACATGCATCCGGCTCTCTGGCCTGAGACCTCAGCTTCCATGCCTCCAGAGAAGGGATCACATTCAGTCCCAGACACGCTCTCCGGGCCTTATGTGACCACTGGAGCCTTTCCCAAGGCCTCTGTCCTGCTGGGGGAGACGGTGCTGCACTAACCTTGGGTGGGAGCCCTGACGAGCTGGGCGTGGTGACCCAGAGCTGCCGAGAGACAGCCATGTGGGGGAAAGGGCGGGGTGAGGGGACTGGGTTCAAATCCTGGCTCGAGCTTCTTCCAGCTGAGCAGAAGGCACTGCCTCCTCTCAGCCTTTCCCAGCCGGGGAGATCGAAGTAACAATAAGACTGTCCTCTTGCTGCATAAAGAGGGAGAGAGACT